TTTAAAATAATAAATGTTTATTCTTAAAGGAATCATTAATAATTATGCACTTTATAATAGTGCGATATATGGTATCGACACACCATAAAATTGACAAAAAAATAAAAATTGTTATTTTATTTTATGTATCCAATCTATTATTTTAATAATTTTAAAACAGTAGTGTAATAAATTACGTGTATAATACGTGAATTTAGTTATGAAGTACAAGGATAACAGAAAGTTATATCATTTGAACAATTATTATAAGATAATTAACAGAAAAACTTCAATGTTTGAATATTTTGAAAAGTTATTTAGTGTTTTTGTTTAAATAATAAATTAAAAAAAAAAGAAAAACACCTCGTTAATCGTAGAACACTATAATAATTCAATAAATATTAAAATTTTGGAATAATTTTTTATATGTCACCCTAGATATTGTTGTATCTTATTATTATAATATTTTTATGTTGATCAAGAAATACAAACAGATATATTAAATGGTACTCACTAAGAGGATGGAAATCCTATTTTTTCTATTACTAATAAATTTATTGATTTTCTGCTTATTGGAATATCTAAGTATACTTTAAGATTGTAGTTTAAAATCCTTAGATTCTTTAAACCATTTAAACTATTTAAAGATTTTTACCGTATAATTTACTAATTTTTTTTAATTTTTTTTAATGAGAATCACCTTTTTTTCTATAAATTATTTATCAGGTAGCTTATTTGAAAATATTGATTTACTTATCTAAGTAGAAATTTGGGTTATAATAATTTAAATACTTTAATAATTAATATTAAATAGACTAGGCTATTTCATTTTTTTTTCACTCAATAATTTTAGCTAATATATTTAAATTTAGTTAATGTTTAAAGTTCAAAGCTATTTTTTATAAGCTCAAAAGAAAAGAAGTAACCTAATTAAGTAATAATTTACGCGCGGTCAGTCAAACTGTATGTAAACGTAATTTTTTACCCATGAGTTATAATTTGGTTTAAGTACCTTAATTTATTGGCATTTTTTTTATTTTTTTCTGCTTCGACGTCATTTTAAAGTAGCTTCAGACATACTTTTTTTTTTCACAAACCTTAAGATTGAACAATTTTTAATTTACCTAAAAAACAGACACACAAAAAATAAATTATATAAAATACAAACCCATTAAGATAATAAATTAATACATCTATTGCTCTGCTCAGAATATAAAATGATGGTGAGCATGCTTGACGAATCATTCTGTTTATACTTATATAAAATATTTCCATTTACGCCTTTATATAAAATAAACGTGCTTTATATTTTGAGTTAAGTAGATATTTGAAATTAAGTTAGTTCTTTTTTTAGCAGAAAAAAATTAATAATAACCTCAAACATATTTCTATAGACATCGATTTTTTGTTGAAAACAGTATTATATGATAGAAATATTCTAGTAATACAGAACTTTTTATAATTTAACGAGTATATTGTTATATTTTTAAAAACAAACATTTCTATAGATTATTATCCATCATAATAAGCACTTAAACAATAACCTATACTTATCAGTGTTAAACATTATCCCATATCCATTATTTTTTTTGTAATCGAAGTGGATAATAATAGAAAATTTATAAACAGGATTATTAAGCATAATCACTACCTCTTTTTTTTTAATAATACAGTTATTCAAAATTTGATTTTTTAAAATTTTTAAATATACCTTAAAATTATATTTTTGTAATTTTGATTTGTTGTATTTGTTATGAAGTGTTCTTTGAAGTTACAAAACTCTGTTATCCAAATGAGAATTCCCAATTTCTACTATTAATTATTTAGGGAATATTTCCAAAAATCAAAATTCAAACTATTTGTGTTTTATTTATTTAACTTTTTATACCAAGTTTATCATCTATGACGATAGATTTATAAGATAAATAGATTATGGAGAATGGGAACTTATGGGAAATTTATCAAGATGGGACACAATAAAAATAAACACCAAAAGTGCATTAAAAAAAAAATATAGTTATTATTATACTATCTTTATATAAAGTAAACACTAAACATATTAATTATATGTTTATTTAAACAATACTAAAAATACAAGGGAGAGGAAAGTGCTTTTTCATTCCTCCTTCTAAATGCCCATAATATGGTAACTCAAAATTCTTAGTATGAATATTAATCTATCAACATTTTTAATTTATAAAAAATGAACTAAGTATAATAAATTCTAGGTCTAAAATTATATCTAATTTTTATTTTTGTAATACAATTTTTAAGAACTATTTTTCTGCTATATTTATTTTAATAACTGAAAAACTACTAGTTCGATTTTTGAACTAAGCACGTATAAATTTCCAGAAAAAATATTCATTAAATAATTAACGATAAAAAAAGGTATTTAATTTCAACAGAAGTTAATTTTAAACTTTTAAATTTATGCTCAATTTTTACTGTTAAAATCAAATATTCGTAAAAATTTAATTAAATAAATTTAAGCAAATATATAAACGTGTTTCTATTTTACTTACTGTTCTTAAAGTGTTTTGTTATAGTTGAAATTATTATAATGGTTGCAGTAATATTTTTGTACAGGAAGCAAAACAATTAGCTAAATAAATAACAACGTATTTTAATATAATAATGTTTTTTTTTATTTTAAAATAACATAATGATACTAAATTTACATAGACATTCAGGAATGGGATTAATTTCAGATCATTATTGTACTATAGTAGTATTATACATCAACATTAAAAACTGACAGAATTATAATAGTTTTATTTACAATTTTCTTATATACAATTATTTTACGTTGAAAATGATATCTAAATACTAAGGTAACTGATAAACTTCACATTTTTTCACTAAATTATGATTTAAATTCTATAAATATGTATAATATGGTTTTGTTAAAGTAAATACAAAAGATAACGTAATCGACCATTAACATTATTTGTCTAAAAATATGTGAATTTTCATGATTTTTAGTGAATAATTATAATTTTATCGTAACTGAATGCGTTTACTTTCAGTAAATTGTCAGTCTATATCTGTGTTTCTTAAAGTAAACGATAGAATTAAAGTGGGCGGTGGTTGTGTGTGTGTGGGGAGGAAGTTAGAAGTTATAATCTTGATTGGAGGACATTCCATTATTAAAGTTAGTGCAGTAGCTTTGTCTATGTGAATTTTTTCGATCTGCTCTTTCCTTCAGAAGTTTTAATATCTTAATGTTGTATGACTAAAACATATTTTATGTTGTTATATTTTTTAAATTGTTAATATCGATGCATGTAAAATCTATTGTGGGTTGCGAAGAGACATCAAACGCATTCATATTATAAGAATAATATCAATAATTCTTAAAATTTATAAACTAAACTTATACATATAATAAATTGATTTGTCATAACATAGTTAAAATCTGAATACTTTTTTCGGGATGAATGATTAGGAACCACTGCAACGAAAATGACTTTGATGTGTAAACCAAAAATTATTCTATCTAAAACCATAATTATGTATGTATTTAGTTACCTAATAAACAATAGACAGTAACGTTAATGGCCAGTGATTAGCAGTATTTTCCATTTAACATAACTTACTTTAACATAATCTCACATATTTTATACACTTACGTACTTGCGATGTATATATGTATTTATAATACACCATTTATAGTTAGTTTTAAGATTTATTATAAACAAATTAATAATTAAAAAAAAAAAAAAAATTATTTTATTTATTGAAATTTAAAAACCAATACTAATTTGTACATTACACTGAGTAGGTCTAAATAATGTATTTTTAAATCCTTAAAAGATCATGATAAATTTTATTTTATACGTTAGTATTTCCATTTTTGCTTAATTTTTTTTATCAGTAAATGAATTAAATATTGTGCAATGATATATCTAATTTAAACATAAAGATAATAAATAACATATCATTTTTTTGTTAAATAATTTAAAGTTAAGCCATAAAAAAACAAATAAACATTTAAATACGTATCATAATACACACATATATATATATATATATATAATATATATAATTATACTTAAACACTAAATAATTTTTTTTTATGAATGGTGTTTTATACTATTTTAAAATAAAATGGATAATTTATGTTAAGTTTTACAGCTTATTATATATTATAGACATGTTTTGTTATTTCTGAAGCATCGGGTAATATAGAAAAAAAATCTTAACAGAATCATATTCAATAGATTTAATATTAATTGCATAATGAACAACTATTAATTACTAAATGTATTATGACCAAAAATTACACAAAATTAACTATTTTCGAGTGTAACTGTAAGCTATGACTTTTGATAAAACCAAACGTGTAGAACAATAAATAACAATAATTGCGTTATTTAGTTCATGAATAAACTTAAAATATACTAAAATATTTGAGGTTTTTTCTTTTTGTATAATATATTAAGATAATGTAGATGAAGAAAAAATAAAATGTGAATATATGATAAAAAAAAAAAAACATCTTCAGTCATAATATTTTCTTTCAAAAATGTTGATATTTAAGTGTCTCCTTGTATAAATGGTACACATAACTTGACTTACAAAATCAAACTTTAAAATATTATAAAGTGTATCGCAGTAACTAATAACAATTGACTACAAACTACAGTAGCTTGAATTGACGTGTAACGGTTAAATAACAAAACTGACGTTTGGAAATTCACATTTTTAAACAATTTCAGGTCCACTCTATATCATAATATAATTTATTCAAATATTTTATTTGATTAAACTTAGAACTGTTATTTTAAAAGCCACGGGAATGATTTAGTTATAGTAATGATTTCTGTGATTTAACATTTTATGTATTTTACTGAATGTTGAAAATTATAAATACATATTGGGAGAGTACTATACATAAGATAAGTTTAATTAGTCAGTCACTATAATAATTTAGTGACTGATGATTTTAATATAATACAATGGTTAATATATTTAATGCCATAAGTTGTAAAATTGTATAAAATCGTGCTAAGATTTTAATTTAAAACAGAAAACAAATTAAATTATAAAGAAAAATGTAATAACAAAAAACAATATTAAACATATTTTTATAAGGTTATTTCCTCGCAAAATTGACTGCTCTATTTATCTCACGATAGTATGAGCAATATTTTATCAGTTTGTTTAACATCATCTATAAGATAGAGCAAACACAGCCATGGTTAATGTCCAAGACCACGCGGCTAATTTGGAACCTGCACCGTGTTCACCGTGTTGCATAGCGGCCGGGTGTTCACCTATAGATGAACAAAAAATAAAATAAAGTGAGAACACATCAATTATTCATATGCAAAAGCCATTTCAATATTCAAGAAACACTTCTTGGATGTAGTGTAAAGACATAGGTATGTCGAGTATTCGTGACATCGATAACAGCGAAAGAAAATTGCAGAAAACATTGACTTAACATATATATTATGTATTAAATATGTATATTGTATAAAAAGAAATACAGTATATAAAGCTTCATATTGCATTCTATTTGAATTTATATTTTTTAAGCACCTAGCACATATTATGCTTTTTCGTTATAAATTATGACACTGGACACGTAGTTACAATTATATGTAAAATTTGTATAAAATTCTAGTAAAATTCAAACTAGTTTCAACTTTATTCATTATATTTATTGAAAATACCAAAATAACCGATTATAACGTCTTAACTATCTATATATTTATAATATTACAATTTATACAATTTTTTTTAGATTTTAAGAATCAGAGAATAAAATAAAGTTTATAGATTTCGAAAACACACACACATTATATATATATATATATATAGACAAACGGATAAATTAGATAAATTTATTTAAATTTATTACAATAAAATTTCTATGTATCATAAAAAAAAAAACGATCATAGGTACCTTCTAATGAATAAACAAGTTTTTACAAATAGATATTTTAAATATTTTAACTTAAACTAATTATTTTTGATTTTTTGAAATGAGTGATAATAATATTTAAGAACAGAAAATTTCTCAAAAAATCCATTTATACTTATATAAATGAATAAAATGTACAATGTACAGCAAGATTTATTTTAATAATGTAATAAATATTCTTTGGATAATTAGATATTTTTTATTTTTCTTTTTTTTTATGGTTATTAATATTTAATAAGGTTAATACATTTTTACGAAATCCTTGTTAAAATAAAAGTTAGTACTTATCAGAAAAGTGTATTTAAATCAATTTCATGATATTGTATTATATTTTGAGCACTTATCTTATTTTCATCTTATCTATTATAAATTTCATCATTATACTGTAGGAATTGCAATAAGAATCAACAAATTAAATTAATAAAATATTAAGTAATTTACCTTTTTTATAGCCCCTGTTTAAAATAATTGAATATTTTATAATATTAATTGAACACAATTTATACTTATTAAGTAGTCCTAAAATATTTATGCCGTTAACTTAAATAGGATATTTTTAATTTTTTAGTAGCTATATAAACAAATTTATTAATCTTCTATTTAAAATTTTAAAAGAATAAAAATAAATGTTTTATGGGAATATTTTATTTTTCTAATAACTGTAAACTAGTAAAATATAATATATTAAGTAAATACTTGAAATTAGTATTTAGTTAATATAAATTGTATAATTAACTATATGTAATAATAGATTATAGGTACTACTTAATCTAACATACTTAAAAAAAAAAAAAAACATGTGATGAAAATTGAGTTAATTTAAAACTACAAATGTGTTTAAATACATTGTAAAACAGTATTTTAGAGGTTTTATTAAGACTGTTATGTTTAAATAAAATCATGAGCTAAATATTTTTTAATCGTTCAAGTCTGTTGAAAAAGACTATATTTATAAATTTAAAATAATTAAGTCTTTATAAAATAACTACTATATTTTAGAAAAATTGCATGTTTAAAGTTGTTCAATTTAAAATCAATAAAAGCATTATGTTAATTATTAAACTTTTTTATGATTCTTCTCCAAAGAAAAAATGAATATAAAACAGCATATGTTTCATAACTACAAGTAAAAACTTCTTCATATCACTCCAATTTTAATAAGGACATAAATTGTTAGGGTATTTTTAGATAGGTATAGATTATATAAGCTTTATATAGTCGAAATTAACATAAATTTATATAAACTATCTACATTCTATATTATTTCTTCGTATATTTTTATTTTTATAACACTGATAATAATTGATAATTCTAATTTATTAACGTCATCAATAATATAAGTTTTGTTAGTTTATAATAACTAGTAAAATTTTTTACTTAAAGTTAATATTTTAGTTCGTAAAATACATGAGGTAGGTATTACTTTTTATTTTTACTTTTATTCCTCCGAAATAAATAAAAAAAATAATTATTATCATGACAGAATCTTATTAAACTGAATTATACATTAAGAAATAATTTAATAATAATTCTCTAAACATAATAATTTAGATTGTATATTGATGCAATATTTTTTAATACATAGTTAATATTTAAATATTGAAGTAAAAATTGTTATTTAAACAGAAAATATTGTATGAAAATAAATTTTTTAGTAAATTATTCACTGTTTTCACGATATATTTTAAATATCAGTAAGTTTATTAATGAATGCCGTTAAACTTTTGTTGTAATATTTTAAATTTTAGTATATATTTATTTAGATTAGAAAAATAATTCTTCTAATTATGTTCAGTCAAAATATATTGTTAATAAGCTAATTATTCTAATAATTTTAATTTTAATTACTGGATTTATTTTACTCTCAATTAACTCTATGTTCAAAAATTCTTAAAAAGTATAAAAAAATCAGTTTGTAATTCTTAAAAATAAAATAATATTCATTTTTGTATGTAATATTTAGCATTTATTCATGTTTTTTACAAAAGAGTTTATTAAGATATCAGTACTCAAATAATAGTATGAGATCAAACGCCAACGATTTTAAAGGATACCAAGAAAAATCAAGTGATTGTATTAGTTTGATACTTTAGATAATTTTAAAATAAGAATATATGAATAACGAATCACTTTTTTAACATTAATTTTAATAACTAGAGAGTATGCATCATAGATGATATTCGTAATTTCATGATGTTAAATACTATGATGCTTTGGAAAATAATAATAAAATATTCATAACCGACTGGTGACTAGGTATCAATTTTTAAATGTTTGACTTTAATTTAAAACAATTAATAAATTAATAACTATTTTTATATACATTTATAGGCAACACCTATTGAATAGCGTTGTTACGCAGTTTTGAGTTTTCTATACATCATTTAGATTTTCAAAAATTTGGTTTGAGCGGGTTTCCAAAAGTGTGTAATTTGTATTTATTTCCCTTAATTTTTCCAAATAGATTCTGCCAAGAGTTTACATAGTACTTATTGGTAAAATTTACAATCGTCCCTGTAATAAGCAATACCATAGTTTATGTTATCACATTAAATACTCGTGTTTGTTTGGTGCCGAGATTAAAATTATATACTAATCGGGTCACATGTTTTCACAATTGGTACACAAGTATTGGGTTTCGATTTAATTTCGATAATACGAGTACACTAGTTCGATCCAATTAAAAATTGACGGTACTCTGCTATTATTTTTATTACATATTCAAGTAAATCTTATTTTTATTTTTTTAAAACTTTGATATCATCATCCTGCTGTAGTTATTCAAATGTTTTTAACAGTGCAATTATTAATCTTACTGATCAACACACTTTCAACCAAATGTATGTAGTTTTTCTTTATTATCATTATTATTATTATTATTATTATTATTGTCTGATTTATAGAAAACGGTACTCTTTACAAGTCATGTACTATGTAAGAGAGAGAACGAACGTATTTGTATCGATTATAAAAATGAAGAATTAATTAATGTATTACCGATCCGATGCAATTGGAGCAGCATGGTGGTGTATCGACAAAAAGATAATATGATACACGTTTAGTGGTGAGTTGGGGGGGGGGTAATCGATTTAAAAAGAAAAATCACTGAGATCAGATACGCCCACACTTGTCTCTGCCGTTTTATTATCACGTTCTCCAGCAGTAAATTTGAGACTTACCGTTGAGCACGTGGACGAACACTGTGGCCGTGTTAGCGTTGCTCGGCTGGCACGTGTAGTTTCCAGTGTCAGACAGCCCGGCTTTTGTGACCAGCAACCGGCTGGTGGTTCCCGACTCGGTTTTCTCTGTTTCCAGACTGATTCCTCCACGGCCGCGAGGTGAGTCAAAGTCCACTACCTTGGTGCCGTGCAACCACACCACCGAACTGGGCGGCGTCGAGTGCACGTTCACCGAACACGTCAGGCTGATGGTGCTGCCTTTCTTCACAAACACCTCTGGGGGCCCGTGGATATTGGCTTGAGCCGCTGTGGAAAAGGCGGAAAAACAAACAAACGAAAATCATAAGCCAAATCTGTAGAAACACAATAATAATACGATTGTTGTTGTTGTTTGCACTGCCAGAAGAGAATGAGACGCGAATTTATGAAAATTTTCCATATCGTTAGTAATTGAATCGTCGCGAAAAACCAAACAATATTGTTGGTTATAACTCATAATATGGTTTATCGATCGAACTTAAATGTTTGACTTTTTGACGTCGAGTTAATTATTTTTTATATTATGCTATAATATCGTTTTTATCCTAGATGTTACTACATAACCTCTTTTCAACAAAATCAGTTATACTACCATAATTTTGTGTAAAAGTTCTTAGATCCTTTTAAATTTTTATTTTCATTCAGTCTTAGTGATAATTTATGCTGACAGAAATGAATACGTTACGTCAATTGTGTGAACTGATCCTCATAGTATCAACCTGCATTATTGTCGTTCGTTCACGGAAGTATGTGTTTTAAGCGATACAAATAGTTAAAAATTCTTATATACGATAAAAAAGTATCAACTTGTCTTTTTCAAATAAACCAATAGTCTATGCTGTAAGACAATTTTGTTTCCCGATACAATGGTGAATAAACACGCACAACAATTTCAGACTAGTATATACTCGTATATTATCTAAAATTTAGATTCTAAAAAATAACTGAATCCTATTAAAAGTCCTAAAAAAAGTAAAATATACAGTTTATTATTAATACATAACATAATATCGTAACGGCATACTCATAATTATTGCAATATAATTTAATGGTAACTATATACATATTAAAATTATATAGTGTATTGAAATAGGTACCTAGGTACTATACAATATACTTGACGTGAAGTTATCTCAACAACAAAACCGCACGTGAAAGAACAGAATAGATATCTATAGAACGATTCAAAAATGTTTTTAAGTTTATTTATGTACCTCTTCAGATAACTATTCTTTTGAATCTTACAACACTCATAATATGTCGTTGCTCTTTTATTTTTCATACGTTAAAATGTTTTCAAATAATTAAATTGCTACGTTTAAATAACGCTGGTGCAACGTTTCTTTAACACAGAGTACGCTATAATTGTAGTCTCATTGTGTTTCAGCATTATATTGACGTAAGAACAGAGAGAGCAATTTTACACACGTACATAAATTATTGTGGCAGAAATCTACACAAAATATGAGATAAATCTGAACTACCTGCACTATACACGATAAAACTAGTTACACAAAAGCATCAACTATCTTTGAAAAGTTGAAATTTTACAATGTACCTATAAGATTTATGAATTTTAATTTACAAATCATGAATATATTTGTAATGTATTCTAATACGTAAATTAAAGCATTACCCTCTCCTCTCAAAAACTCTCGAAGCCCATCAAACATTTCCTAACATAACTTCGTCAGCATAATATATTATATTGCAACAACTAATAATATTATTCATGACTTAACGCATTAATTGATATTTATTTTATACCTTACCTACAAAATTTTAACCAAAACATATTTTACGCTTATGATTGTACTTGAAAAATTACTAAATTTATTAGTATTCAAAAATACATGAATGAGTGTGAACTGATTTGTAGCTATATAATTATAATAAAAAGTTTACTCAATTATTTTTTACGTGCACAATTAATTCTAAAAGTCATTTTAAAAGAATGAGAGATATAAAAACAATTTTTAACAATATTAACAATTTACTTCACAAAGAGTTGTTTCAAATAAATATCGAGTTAATTATAAAAAAAATATAGTAATCATCACATATTATATTTATTATTATTATTATTTCCTATTTGTTAGTTTTATTGTTTACGGTATGTAACAAATTTTATTATATCCAAATTATACAATAGGTAGGTAACAATTATATTTTAAAGAACTTAATAATATTTTTTTTTTTATTTAGAATTATTTATTTACTTATATTATATTACTAGTGTTCTGTAACGTGACATTTTTTATGATTCTAGAATGGAATATTTATTATTTATTCATTTTTTTTTTTTTTATAATACCTATATATATTATATATAAGCTAGATTAAAATAAAAATTTATAAAATTGTAAAACTATGATTTTGTTTTACTTTTTCTGAAACCATTAATTGAATAGAGTCATAAGAAAATGCTCATAAAATTTAATAGTAAATAAATTGTATTTTCTAAATAATAGTAAACAATAGTTTTAATTTTTTGTATTAATTTACGTATTTTGTGATTTTTTAAAAAATAAGTACTCCAGTAAAAGTTTGAATACATTTTAATTTATGATATTAAAAAAAATAAATAATTATTAAATTGTATTTTCTTTTAAATTATGCAATATAAAATAATTAAAAACTACGTATTTATATTTTACTTCATATATAACATTTGAATTATCAAGAATACACGTAGAAAACAGTTTATTTTTTAAATTAATGAATCTAATAACTGTATTATTTTTTTTTTTTTTAATTTCAATTTAAATATTTTTATCAAAATTTAAATAATAATACATATTATTTACCTAATTAAACATTTATAATAGTTAAATTTTTTACAATACCGTATATTTTTCAAATAACTAAAACGTTAAGTTTTATTCGTAAATAAAATCATATTAGGTATGAATAAATCGCATTATTTTAGTGAAACAATAATACTAGTTGTAAATTATATTTATATAATTATTTTATTTATTAATTATATAATTTATGAAATAAAATATTTTAAATATATATTTATTCTATTCTATAATAAATAAAGAACATAATATAAGTTTTAATTAAATCGAAATGTTTACTTTAAAGATTGCTATATTATATAAAATTATTTATAACTACTTTATTCTACTTAAAAACAAAAAAAAAAACGTTGAGTTGATTTTAGCTATTTTTAGAAAAAAAGTTCAAATAATTCTATATTTAAGAAGAATTAATTTGTATTTGTTTCATGATGTATCAACAATTTTAAAATATATTTTTTTCACACCATATAATAAAACTAAAGTAATAAAAAGTTTGTTTTTTTTTTTAAGTTATTGACGGTTTTTAGTTTGAAAAATAAATTTATTTTCATTTGAAACACCCTACTATAAAATGTATAGCCTGATCTTAATACATACTGACAGTATTATTATCACCAAAAAACACTCTGTATTTACCTAATTTAAATTGTTGTATAGTTCTAAACTATTGTACTTCTCTGTTATTTATTGAAAAGGACATTGACAAATAGTATATCAACAATCATTGAATATGCATAAGTAAAATACAGTCATTCTCTACGATATAAAATCGGCAATGTTTTGAATTGAATAAAAAAATTCCGTACAAGTACATATAAAATTATAATATTAATCTACGAACTTTTATGTTTTGAAAATATACAGAATAACTGTTTTCATTTTTTTTTTTTTTTATCTTTTTCACTCTCAAACATACAACTATTTACATATTATATTCTAAAGTATAGAAAATAATACTGATAAATTATTTTTCAGTAGTAATTATATAATTGGAATATATTTTTATATTTTATCTATTAGCTGTGAATATGAAAACAACTAGTAATTTAAGTTTGATACGTATTCTGCTATGTTTTAATAAATACAAAATTTTATGGATATAACATTGTTTAGAACATAAACAGATTTAATGTTCTAGTTTATGTAATATTTTTTATGTTATAATAGTTATTTTAATCATTAAATACTTGATTTTGAATAATAATCAGGGCTATGAATGATTAATAATTATTCAAAATATGTTCTATACAAATTTAATTGAAGACAGTAAAATTTTATATGCAAAATTGTACTATGAATATTTTAGAAGTTAGCGCATATAAATGCATTTTATGTTTTCATTTTATATTTGGTAAAATATTGTGAATTTAGTTAAATGTGAATTAAATTTAAAATGTACCTTTTACAACATATATATACATTATACATATATGTATATATTTAAAATCCGTATAAAATTATGAAGTTACAGTTTTTAACTACCAAAAACCTAGGTAATGAATTTAATTGTTATTTAAAAAAAAATGTACATTAGTTTTCAGTACTGTTATAATTTCATGTAAAAGTATATGCCAAGTATTAAATTTGAATAAAAACTAATATTATTACAATTTTTACTTAATAAAAAAAAAAAATTATTATTTTATTTTTGATAAAAAAAAAAAAAAAAAATTTATTTGTATGTGCAATTGTAGAGTCTATGGTTAATGACACTTGAGATATAAAATGGTTGATCATTTCGAACATTTTGATACTTAGTTTAAGTATAGTAATAGTTGAATCGTGTTTAAAACAATCATAATTATTATTTATTATTTAACGATTTAACGTTTTAATGTAATGGTTAATATGTTATAATTAAATGATTTTGCAAACAAGTATAATATTAATATAATATATATTAAACGACTAATTATATACACTAAAATATCATACATACATTTAAAATTGATTTTTTATACGTACTACCTTCGACGTTCAGTTGCACCGCTAAATTGATCTTAGGTTCGGTGTTCACCTGACACTCATATATGCCAGCATCTCTTTTTTGCACAAATTCTACCTTCAAATCCCATTGTTCGCTATTTTCTGGATGCACAACACTGAAACGTCCGTCTCCAGTATACGTGTGGATGCTGGATGTCAATATGTGCAAATCTCGTTTTCGCATCCAAGAAACCTGCAATCAAATAATATACAAGGTCTCACTTATTAAAACGTCGATGTCGCGAACAAAATTGGAAACTGATTCCAACGAGAATAAGATGCAAGTAAAGAAACAACCAAAAAAAAAAAAAAAAAAATAAATAAATAAATATAAAATAAAATAACAACTTCAATGAAAAACGAAACGTAATTTCCCTGCCTCGCACGGCGACGACGACGACGTCGACGCTCATTATTCGCTATCAATCAAACGGATTACGGACGTTCCCTCCGCTTTCCCCATTTATAAATACATCACTAAGACCTACAAAAATATTAAGTACCTTATCTCTTGAAATATACGAGACTTTAAAGATCACTGTTATTTAGGAATTTTTCACTCGGCGATATTTTCCCTTTAATAAATGAATACAGCCGTGGCAACTAGCAATGAATCAAACTATTCACTGCTATACCACCGTTATATAATGATGTTGTCAGTAAGAGTTAAATTCAAATAGATACATTGAACGACTCATATTTTATTGTTAGCGAGAAAAGAAACACCATGGAGCACAACTAATTTCCGTCATATTATAATATTATTGTATTAACCTGCTGAAAGTGGACAGGAGTAAATAAATATTATGACCTAATATGTTTATAAATAATCTAAGCTAACTAAGGCGACATTATTAAAATGCTAAATAATAATTTAATGTTCAATAAAACCAATCTACTTTTAATATGTTATAAAAATATTCAATAACAAATGTACAGTGTTGATTACCAAACATTCTCAGCCGCATAATTGTTTTAAACTAAATATTGATATTTACATTTTTCAATTTTGAATAATACAAATATGTATTTAAAATTTTAATACCGTATTTTTATTTTTTATCAGATGAGAATCAATATTTTTACTTTAAATCGTTATACACATTATTTTTTACAATTGATAATATTAATAGTTACAAATAAAATTGTTACCTAATAATTATTTAGTTATTACATATTGTATACCTTAAGGGTAATCTATGAACTCCGACTACGTTTAGAAAATATTGAAGCTATGAAACTAACAATTTAATTATATTAATTTATATATATTTTTAATTAATAAACTTTTTATGAATATAATACATATTTTTGTGAGTATTAGACTAAGTATATACATTTGATACATTATATCAATAAATATTTTATTCTATAAAAATTACATTCATTTTAATATCTCATAAACTTTAATTTGTTCTAATTTTAGTATTTTTGTTTAATTTGAAAAAAAAGTTTCTCAATTAAAAAAAATGAATAAATAAGTCTGCATCACAAAAGAATAATTTTTAAATGGTATTAAAAATGTAGGTACCTATTTGAAAAAAACGATATTTAAATATATTCAATTTTTTTTAATTTTAATAATTCTAAAAAATCAGAAACTGAATAATTCTTTATTAATAGATAAACAAGGGATGACGTTTGGTGAATTATCCTGTATATACAAAATATTTACTTACTGTAAAATGTAAATCATTATTATTATTATTATTATTATTATTATTATTACTATTGTTATTATTATTATTATTATTTTTTTTTTTTGGTAAGTACAGTAAAATGATATCCGTGAAAAATAAATTGGTGAACAAAGCCAGTATTAAGGGGTGACGTAAAAACTGTTTGCAAATAATTGTTTCAAAAAAATGTACAAGGCGTATTCTCTCTGTGTATGGTAGTTTTATTTTTTTATTATTACGATAACTAAGGGTATCAAACAAAATATGAATTCCATAACTTGTATATGACATGCAGATTTCCCATATAATCTAAACATCAAAAGAAATTATATTTATGTTTTTTTTTTTTTTGCTCTAGAATTTAGTTTTATATGTTAAATAATAACCATAATTTATTCAATGATGGCAAATATGCGTGTACAATATAGTATTATTTACATAGTAGAAATACTATTTAAAAACGTATAATATATAATTGTCGTCGATTAAAGAATAAGTAGTTTTTGTATGAAAATGATTAATTAATTTATGTCAAAATTTAGCTTTGGTTTTCAATTAAATAGCCAAACTATTGTGACGTATAGTAATTTATAAGTCTAAAATAAATAAGTTTCATTTTAAATTCTGTGCAAGCTGATATTGTATGTCTAACAAAATATTAAATTGAAGCAGAAAAAACTGAAATTTTCAATATTGTGGTTAGTTTCTGGTATTAAATCGAATCTAATTCATTGAATGAATATAAAAAGAAGATTTTCGGGAAAAATAACAAATATGACAATGGTACGGCAAAAATATTTATTCAATAATATCATTTGATTTAATTAATTTTGTTTTTGTAATAAATTTTTTATAACACACTCACACACACACGCATATATATTTTTTTAGTTTTTAAAAATATTTTGTCTTTTTTTCAATAATTTAAAGTAAATGGAATTTAGCTTTATTTTTATTTATTTATTTATTATTATTATTTTTTTTTTTTTTGATAAAAATATTTGTTTATAAGTTAAGAAGCCATTGCATTGGATATAAATGTTCATTAATTTTTTTCTTATATTAGTTTAAAATTATAAAAGTGTATACTTCCATTTTTTTTTTTGTTCTATAAAAAAATTAAACATTGATGAAATTCATAAATATTTGCAAATAATTTTTTAGATATAAATTACTTTTAATCATCATATTTTTATTTCCATTCCTTAAGTTTAAAAATATAATACATATTTTTCTTGAGTTGTTTTCGCATTAATTTTTAAACTAGGTAAAATTTTATAGCCACATTTTATTTTTTTATTTTTCTAAACGTTTAAAGTACCAATTTTGACAAAAATAGGTATTTACGTGAAAAATAACATTTCTTTTTTTTAATTAAACGATATAAATGAAATTGTATATTATCAAATTGAATATTTAAAATATTTCTGGAGTAAAATATTAGTATTTTATTGTACACTATGGTATTATTAAAAATGTGTTCAATCTACGGAATTTATAATTTATAGTTAAAACATATGTTATAATATAGCATAAATTAATATTATTTATAATATTTATAAATTAATATTAGATATATAATATTATATTGGTCCAACTATCTTCTAAGCATATAATTTTATTATTTGTATATAAAATTATTTATTATTGGATCTAAATTTAACTTATTAATGATAGGATTTACTCAATAACAAGGTGTACTTAAAAATCAAATCTATTTTACGCCAAGGTGAGTTTCCCAATTTTTTTTGCGGTTAAATTTACTAATTGAAGCGATAACTGTCTATTATGGCTTTAGTTTTATAATAAAACCTTGTTTAATATTAATTATAAATTATTATTTGGATAGGAAATAGTATATTGATAAAATACGACTTATAGGATTAAAAAAAAAAAAAAAAAAAATCATATAAAATCTACGAAAGAAAACTATTTGAATACTATATGTGACTTTTATTCCAATAAGTTTAAATAATTTTCATAAAATAATAATAATAATAATATTATATTAGTTTTAAATTATTTAAATTAGACAGTTATACCAATTTTCTTAATGTTTTTACATACATACACACATACATAAATATATATATATATATATTTTAAACTGTACTTAAAATTTTAAATGTAGGTCAATGATCATACATTCAAACAACTTAAATATGGATAAATTATAAAAACATTCGTATTTGAGTACGTCGTATAACTAATTTAAGTAATATTATTTTTGAAAACATAAATAAAAAAATATATTATATAAATAAATATGATATTATAGTTTTTCATAATCTTCTTTTTTAACTTACTATAAAATTAAAAATTAAATTATCCAATAAAAATATATTGTATATCTAGTTAAAAAAATACAACGGCTATTTTTAATTACTTGTGATTAATATATTATATGTGAATTAAACTATTATTGTGAAAAGTAATTATAAGTTTTTTGTTTATACTTAAAAAAATTCTAAATGAAAATATAATTAAATTTATTGATCGTTATTTTATTTAAATGCGCTTGATTTAAATTATTGTTTGATATGCAATATTTTAAATTTGTTTTATATCTACTAAACTGTTAATCTTTAAACATTTTAAAAAATATTGTTTTTATACGTATATATTTTATTAAAAATATCATATTTCTATGTTTTATAAAAAAAAATACTATTGTAATGTACTAATGTATAACTTCAACAAAATATATATCATAACATGATCCCAGAAATTTACTATTATCTACGACGTTTCAAAAACATTTGTATAGGTAATTAATATGTGGATCTTAAAAAAATATGTGATTAACGTTTAACAAACACTTAAAAGATGCAATTTTATTTATTTAACGGTTTATTTGGTTTATTTTTTTAAATTTAAAACACTCGAAAATTTTGTTGAAAGTTAAAGAAACCGTTAATGATTCATTTTGAAATACAATTAATTGTGTATCAAATTTTTATATTTAAATACATTTAGAATCATGCATTACTATATGTGTTGTAATTATAAAATTAAAAGTGTAAAACAATAATAGCTTTTCAAGGTGCTCTTTAATTATTATAATAATTACTGAGTATTTTATTTTTGAATGTAATGCTTATAATACTAATTATTTTAATTTTATTGAGATTTAGTATCAATCATTATTTATAATATTATGTTAAAATATAATTACTGATACCCCATTATAGATATTGTATTTATAAAGAATTTTAGTGCTGAGATTTAATATTAATTAAAAAATAGAGAATAAAAAAAAGGCAAATGGGTATCATTCTACTCTACATAAGGTGCCAAGTGGGTCACCTTTAATTCAATGACATATCATCGTATACGATAAACAATTCTGAGCGATAATGTTCTGTCAATCTCTATTACTAAGATTATTTCATGATATATTTTTTTGATATAATAGCTAAAGACATTTATTTTACTTTCAATATAACGGTAGGTTCATACAATTGTTCACGATAATATTGCATTAATTATTTTTTTAGTACTAATTCAATATAAT